TTTGCTAACCTTCGAAGAGTCAATGATCGCATTTCATTCCTTTCTCATAGATCAAGCAAGAAAAAACTTTCAATCACCTTGAGCGAGACGTGTGAGTCCATTGGAGTTGTGAGCGTCGCTCCGCAAGAAGAACTCGGCTTTCAAAAGCCATGAGGATCGACGCAGCAAAGTCGTGCATCAGAGTTCCGACGTGACGCTTGAGGATTTGCTTGTCAACCGGAGGAAACACCACCATTTCCTGCCTCTTCTTGTCATCCTGCTCCACTTGGTTTACATGTTTTTACAATCGAATCCATCAGTTCAAGGAAGAACACAAAGCCAAATAAAACTTCATAGAAGCAAACACGTATGCCAAAAGAATGAAATGAAGATTTAAATGAATCCATCAGTTCAAGGAGGGAAGGAAAAACAAAACTTCTAAAGAATTCCAAATGCCAAAGAAGACTGAAAGTGAAAGCTTTGGTATGCCAAAAGCATTCTAGAACAAGCAAAGGTAAATGCCACAAACCAAAAGAGCAAGTTCGTCAAACCCACTAGAAAAAGAAGTTCTAGACAAAGAAAAGAAAGAGAAAACAAAAAGAGAAAGAAAGAACACAAATGTTGTAAGAAAAAGAATTGAAAAAAGTATCTGTTTGTGGGTGGAAGAGAAAGGCAAAACACCTCCTTGTTTGCGCGGCCGGGTACTCGTTGCAAATCTCCACGAATTTCTCACACACAGCGTCCGGATCCGGCACATCGGGGCAATGGAGCACGCCAATGCAGCCATTTTTGCAAAAATTGAACGCATAGTATCAGTGCGTACATGAACGAATGGATTGTTGGCAGTAAAAAGACTGGCTTGGAGGCACGGCAAGTACATCAACCTTTTGCTTCTTGATTTACAAAAACTGTAAAACAGATTTTAGCAGCACTACCCAATCTGGATTTTTGGACCGCGAATGCGGCTGGTAAGGAAGCGCTGATGCGATGCCGATGGATTCAGTGACGTCGTCCATCTCGCTACATGCTTTGGTTTGTGGGATTGGATTCCTTTGCCGGCTCCATGTCGCTGGCCATGACAATTCGACCGCTCTACAATCTCGTGAAGGAACATCCTCACCAATCATCCAGCATTGCATGCGAGTGAGCATCAACGTGCCATGCAGTTCATGCAACCGTTCCCATATTTCTGTGGATCTGATAAAGTATGTGGCATTGTTCCACGATGAAGAATTTTCGCCCGAAGAAATTTAAGAGCCGTTTTTTCATGGTTGGCTCTGCCACTAAGTCTTCCATTTTTTCTTTTCCGCAGTTTGCTGCCCAAGAAAAAATTGGTTCTTGCAAGAATAAACTTGTAGGATTCTCAGGTAGCTCGTTTGGAGATTTTGAGAGTGTGTTGTCTTACTTTTCTTGTTTGAAAGCTTGTCCATGAACACAGGCGGTGGAGATCTCAAAAAAAGTCTGGGCCTTCGAAGAACATATTGGAGGATTGTCTCGTGGCTTTGTATTCAGGTAGTATAGCTATTGTTCCTGCAGCTTGATCAATCTTTTTGCAGCCATTTTTGCAGTCTTGGGGCAAATACGATTGGATGTATGGTGTGTATTTCTTCTTTGGCTTGGTTGAGCTGACGAATAATCCGGCTGTAAAAGTGCAAAGGTGAGTAGATTTTTGGTTGTCATTCTTATTGATTCTCTTGCTGTACCAACGAGAAGTATAACTTCAACAAAAAGTTACAAAAATGCACTACTTTTCTGCGAAGTATTCAAAGGACTCGTCTGCTACGTATCCAAATGGGGAATACATCCATGGTCTGTTGTACTTGCCTCGCGAGGAGTTTATGCTGCCCAACGTGAAAATGCGTGGCTCCGGTTTATGCGATCACTCGAAGCTCTTCGTTCAGAGCTTGATCCGAATCGTTGCTGGAGACAGTGCTCTAGCTTGGACCGAGAAGAAGTTTACAACATTATCAATGCCAGGAAAAGATTCAAAGATGATCTCAAAGCTGCATTTTTTGGCAAGTATCCAGCTTCGTCTTTGTATGCTACTGATGAGGTCGATCTTGTAGTATCTTGTTGCGATCTAAGAAGTAAGCAGCGGAAGATTGATGTCCTTCCCAGCAAATACCACAGTTGTTTTATTGCAAAGAATCCATTCGTTCGACTGCTTGAGGAACTGGCGAATCCTATTGCTGGTGACAAGATTGGGACAATCCATGGATTCAGATGCTTTGGGTGCTGCCATGGAAGAGATTATTGACGTATCACTGGACGCTGCAGTGTGAGACTCGACAATTCTATTGAATTCATGCGTTTCCTTTTGTATCCCAAAATTTCTTGTGCAGTTCTTACAAAAAGCCTGGAGCTGGAGGAATCATGGTTCATGGAGCATTAACTCTGGAGCTTCACAAAATCACAAAACCCAATACTGCAACGGCACCTCATGAAGTTTATGAAGTGATAATGCGTTATTAACCAAAGTGGAACACCAAGGTTAGCTAGAGGCGATGATGATCATCTTGAGAGCTTACTAGTTGACGCTGAAGTAAGTCTTATTCTTTCCACATTTTCCTTCATCTTAAATGTTTTTGCAGGACGCAGATGACTCTGATGAAACTCAAACCGAACATGGCTTCTGGGTCTTGGTTCGTGACGGACGAGTTCAAGGATTAAGCGATCTTGTTACGGTTTTGATAGTGGAGCGTACATTGAAGTTTGGAACGTTTAGCATGTTAACTCTTTAACCAGAATACTGCTACATCAAGCTGGAGCTTGTGTTTCCAAGAAGGATGGCAGTGCAAATATGAGAAGTGGTCGTTTTGCTCCAATCTTTCTGCAAGCTTGGATGGCAGCACCCAATATATGGATATATGTATTTTCTTTTCGGCATTGTCGAAGTGGGAACAATCGAGTTGTGAAAGTGTGGAGGTGAGTATAACGTTTCTTTTCGCTGATCAAAGTTGCGATTTTTGCAATGAAACGATGAAACGAGTGCCATCCTTGAGCATTTTGTCGAAGTTCTCATCGCATTGCAAGGACTCGAGTGCTACGTATCCAGACGGGGAGCACGTCCACGGGATGCTTTGCGTGCCTCGAAAGGAGTTTACGCTACCAAATGTGAGAGTTCCTGGATCTGGTTCTAGCGATCATACCAAGCTCTTCTTCCAGGGTTTGATCCGAATCGTTGCTGGAGATGGTGCTCTTGATTGGACCGAGAAGGACGTTCGCGAGATTATTGATAGCACGAAAGATGATCTCAAAGCTGGATTTTTTTCCGAAAATAATTGGTAGAACTTGATGGATATAGTTTATATTACAACGTTAATAAAAACTGATCTCTCGATATAAATTCCAGAATCATGGAATTCAAAGTATTCGATTTTTCAAATAATAAACGGGGAAAGACAGAAAGGACAGTGGCATATTCTGTAGAATATTTTGGTATTTAAGTTTAAGTTTAGCGATTAGGATAAGGCCAAAGCATGTCGCGAGGAATCCCAGCCGTCCGTTGTCGACGAGCGCGCTTCCTTTGTATAAATAGCTAGCTTGGAGTTCTCTCGTGTGGAGAGAGTTCTAGGGTTTGTTCTTGCGATGGCCGCAGCTCATCTGGATGTCGATCTCACGCCACGATCTCCCAATGCGAGATTGTGCGCCAACGATGGCGGGATTTACGAGTTTTGGCTCAGCGCCCGCTCCAAGATGTTGAAGGAAGCTCGGGTTGGGGCGTCGCGCTTCAGTCTCAATCCTAGGGGTTTGCTGATGCCGAAATACTCCGATTCTAATCAGATCTTTTATGTGCTCGAAGGTAAGCAATTGTGAATTTTCTTCTCATGCATGCTAAAATTCCGGGATTTTCTCTCTCCGTCCAGGAAATGGTAAAGTAGGACTGACTTTTGCGGAGAGTCCCGGCGAATGCGTCAAGCTCGTGAAGAAAGGCGATGCTATCGCTGTTCCTCACGGCACTGTCAACTGGTGGTTTAACTCTGGCACTTCGAAGTTTAGTGTTTTGTGTCTCGGAGACACGAGCAAAAGCCTCAAAGCTGGAGAATTCACTGTAAGTTCTTGGATTTTTTTTGTTTTGTTTTTGGTCTTGTTGTGACACTCAATCCGCTTGTAGGATTTCTTCCTGGTCGGTCCTGGTAGCGCTGGACTTCTCAAAGGTTTTACTCCGGACTTCATCGCCCAAGCATGGGATGTCCCAGAAGAAACGGTGAATACTTTGCTCCATAGCCAGAAGGAAGAGAGGATTGTTTTGCTCAAGGAAGGCATTTCTATGCCGGAGACAACCGATTTGAGCAACTCTCCCTATGGAGAGTTTGCTTACAACTGCGAGGAGGCAAAGCTCGACGTGGATATAAAAAACGGAGGCAGAGTTTCCGTTGTTTCCAGCGATAGCTTGCCGATCTTCAAGCACGTCGGTCTTGGCGCTGATCTCGTCAAGCTTGATCCGGTAAGTTTTAGCTGATCACTTGGATCTTATAATCACATTTCTTGCAGCATGCGATGTGCTCGCCAGGATTTTCCTCCGACTCCGCGTACCAAGTCACTTACATTGTCCGTGGAAGCGGTCGAGTCCAAGTCGTGAACCAAAATGGCGAGAGAGTTATCGATCATATACTGGAGCCCGGCTGCCTGTTTATCGTCCCACGATTCCACGTCGTCTCAAAGCGAGCAGGAGAAAATGGAATGGAATGGTTCTCGATCATCACCACCGAGAAGTAAGTTCTCTTCTTTTCCTTCCGAGGTTCTGATCGACCCAATTTTTTGCTGGAAAAACAGGCCAGTGTTCTCTCATCTCGCTGGAAGAACTGGCGTGATCAAGAGCTTGTCGCCCAAAACGATTTGCGCGGCTTTTAACGTGGAAGATGGAGTTGAGAAGGAGCTGCGGTCTCGCAGGACAAACGACGCCATCTTCTTCCCACCCAAATAAGATGAAGTCAATGCAAGTCAATACAGAGTCAACTCTGTCAATGCGCAATAAAGCTCATTGAGAATTTTTATTCCAAATAAATTCTAGGGTTTATCATCGCATCGCATCGCGCGCGCGAGGGCGCTGCTTCGTCCTGGCCGATCCGGTAAGCTGCCAGAATGAGATTCTCGGCAATGTAGGACAGGAGATTTGAGCATCGAGGATTGCCAAACTCTAGAACAAACGGAGCAAACACTCTCTTCACGATGTCTGGAAGAATTTCGAATGCTTTGATGCTGGAAGGTAGAGCCACACATTTTTTATCCTAGTGACAAAACCATTCGCTATGCTGTCCAGGACTTCGCTGGATCCTAAAGTTCTCACAGGCGATACGAGAACTTATGGTACTACCGGCAACGCTCATCAGCTCGAGAGAAGCGCTTGCCTCGCGGCGCTAAAGTCGTGCTCCAGAGCTAGAGACGTCGAAAGTGGCCGGCAAATCCACGCGAACGCGAGAGAAAGTGGTGTGGATTCGGACTCTCACGTAGCTAGTAGCTTGGTGGCGATGTACATGAAGTGTGGGAGCGTGGTGGAAGCACAGCAGGCCTTCGATAGGATTCCTCGCCCCGACGCAGTGTGCTGGAACGCTTTGATCTCGGGCTATGCGGAAAATGGCGAGGCCGAGGTGGCCTTGCAGCTCTTTCGATCGATGCAACAGTGCTGCGGAGCAAGCCCTCGAACTTTTGCCGCTGCGCTCGCTGCGTGCTCCACTCTCGCAGCTGCCGAAGAAGGCCGGAAAGTTGATGGGAGGATGGTGAAAGTTTTTTCGCTGCAACGAGGCATGGGAGTTCATCGTCAAGCCGAGGCTGGGATGGGAATAGATGCTATCCATCGCAACGTCTACGTGGGGAATGCTCTCATCGACATGTACGTGAAGTGCCGGAGCATGGTGCGTGCTCAAGAGGTTTTCGACAGGATGAAGACTCGGGATGTGGTCTCGTGGAACGTATTGATGCTCGGCTACGCACAGGGTGGTGAGAACGAGGAGCTAGCTCTCGAGATGTTTACGAAGATGGTGTCGTCCCGAGGCTGTCAGCTCGATAGCTGGAGTGTTGTTGCTGCTCTCAAGGCCTGTAGCAATCTCGCAGCCAAGGAAGAAGCTCGGAATCCACAGGAGAAGCTCAGGTTTCTAGTCACGGGTGTGGCGATCCACGGCACAGCCGAGAGACTGGGATGTGACTCAAACATATTCGTGGCCAACGCTCTTCTCAACATGTACGCAAACTGTGCAAGCATGGTGGATGCGAGGAGAGTTTTCGATAAGATGCAGCGCCGGGATGTGGTTTCCTGGAACACGATCATCCTGGGCTATGCTGAGAACGATGAGGGAAAGATGGCCCTTCAACTCTTTGGAGATTTGCTACACTCTCGGTGCTGTGTACAGGACAGGCTGACTTTGGTGGCTGCGCTTAAGGCTAGTTGTACCCTCTCGACTCAAGAACAGGGAAGGCAAGTCGATGGGACGATCGTGAAGCTGAGTTCGCTGGAAGCAGGAATGGCGGTACACTCGCTGGTATCAGAGCGAGGCTTTGATCTGGAAGACTTGTACGTGGCAAACTGCTTGGTCGACATGTATGGGAAGTGTGGGAGCATGGCCGATTCTCGCAGAGTTTTCGACCGTGTGAAGCATCGCGACGTTGTTATCTGGAACGCAGTGATCTCGGGATACGCACAGAACGACGAAAGTGAGGCTGCTCTAGAGCTGTTTGAGGCTCTCTTGTGCGAAGGTGTTTCTCCAACCAGCTTGACAGTCGTTGCGGCTTTCAAGGCTTGCGGCAGTCTCGCAGCTCAGAACAAGGAAAGCGATCGAATGAGAGCATTGGAAATCACCATGGCTGTTCATCGTGAAGCTGTGACGAAGCTGGAAGCCTCCGAGTGGGACGCTTACATGACGAGCAGCTTGATCGATGCGTACGCCAAGTGTGGGAGTCTGGCGGATTCCAGCAAAGTTTTCTCGAGCAATACCGGCCAGCTTCGCAACGTGGTCTCGTGGAACGTCTTGATCCTGGGCTTCGCGGAGAACGGCGATGCTAGACGAGCTTTGAGGCTGTTCCACAGGATGAGACGCGAAGGCTGCCGACCAAACGCATCAACGTACGTCGCGGTACTAAAAGCTTGCAGCAACAGTATTCCTTCGAGTCTAGACCTTGGGAGCGAAGTCAAGGCTCTGATCTACCGTGGAGGCTTTGAGAACGATGGAGTTTTGGCTGGATCCCTGGTTGACTTTCACGGCAAAGCGGGAGACATGGTTTCCGCTCGCCAGGTATTTGACTCGCTAGCGGGAGATGGTGACGAGGCCTGGAGTGCGTTGATCGCCGGATACAGCAGGCAAGGGGACGCAAGCCAAGCGCTGACGCTGTTTCACGAGATGGTAAACGCTGGCATCAAACCGAATGGTATCACAGCTCTCGCAGTTCTAACCAGCTGCAGCCATGCTGGTTTCGTCGAGGCAGGGAAGAAGTTCTTCCACGAAATGCCATCCAGATATGGCATCGTCCCCGAAGTGGAACACTTCCACTGCGTTGTCGATCTTCTCAGCAGAGCAAACCAGCGGGAAGAAACTCTCGCGCTGGTTCAAGGTATGACGAAGCGCTGGAACTTTGAAGCTAACGAAGTAACTTGGACTACCATTACAGAAACTCGCGGAGTGGAATCCAGGAGTGGAGACGCTATGCTTGTCGCGAAGCAAGAATGGCCGTTGTGATGTGTGAAAGCTCTCCCGTTTCGTTTCATGTCTCCCAGTCTTCACAGTCTTCAAGCATTATGTCGGACAAATTCTGCTGAAAATGGGATTTTTTTTTTTTTTCAGCATCTTCTAAACAACAAGAAAAACTTGCTAGCATAGCCCAGCATAGAATCAAATATATGTTTAGCTTCTTCTAAATACCCACTCTTGGTATATGTATTAAGCATAGCAGTCTATGTGATAAAGTTTCTTTCTGGGACTTGATGAAACATTTTCTTCATGTAGCATAGAATCTCACTAAACCGTGTCCGGGATTCGATCAAAGGCAGAATACATTAGTTTACTATTCAATTTATACAATACATTTTTGTGATGAACACGATTTTCTCAAAGTACTACACCGTCCAAGCCTTCAATGAAGAATCCTTCGTGGCTTTGGCCAAATCCAAGTATATGAGCACCTCACATTTGCTTGAGGCAAACCCGTTGCAAAGTTTATATTTTTCCTCTTCATTAGCTTGAGACCTGAAAAGGTGAAGTTTAAATCTGCAGAGTTCCAGCTTCTCTTTTGTTTTTTTTAATGTTACAGCTTGATGCCTTAAATAACCATTTGGGTTTGCAAATGCAAAGTTAAAAAATTTAACACAATAGCGTGACATGTCAATAACACAACAACACAAGTCATTCTTCTTTTCATTTGCCCAAAGTGTGTATACTTTTATGATAAAAAAATTAAAGAATATATGGCAGCAAATTTAACAAACGAGTGGCAGTGGATTTGAAGTCTTGAGATTGTCCTTGTTATATTAAACATTTAAATCCTTATTAATCAGTCTATTGCTGCAGCTATTGAAAAGAGAGCTAAAAGAGGACAAATGATTTTTCATCTAAAATTTATTATGGAGGGAGGTACTCTTTAATACACTAAAAAGGTCAGTATGATAAATTGTCTATTAGACAAGAAATTTAGTCAATATTATTCTGTTTAGCTCTTAAAAAAACTTATTTACTAATAAGTTGGTAGCTGTCAAGAGAGTAAACTTAAAACAAAAAAAAATTAATCTGCACATGTGTAAATATACAGTGCATGCATATTCATTGCCATAGAATCAAGGCCAAATCAAGGAAAAGTTGCAAAAGTATTATGCACACAATCACTTTTAAATTCTTATATAAATGATCAAAATGTAATTATTATGGAATATGCCATGTATGCATGGGTATGACACCTTAGATTGCCATGTTATCTCATACAACATAACATCATTATAAATTTAATGAGGTTTTATTTTTTTTATTCTTGTTTCATTAAATACAAATTTATAATCTCCTCATTATGACCATCTCTCTCCTCCTTTGTGAGCTCATTATTTACCTCTCATTTTGTGCAACTATACTTTATCTTTTGCCACTTGGAGGCTTATTTCAATTTTAGTGTGCTCTAATATAAACATTGTGTTTTGATTGCTATTACAAATGCCTCTTATTTCTTGCAACTTGTTTGCAGCATGATGCATTAATCTAAGTAGTGATTGATTGACACAGTAAGGACAATTAATTGGAGTGGAAAGGCAAGCATAAAAATTTTCTTTGGGTGCTTAGAGTGTTAAGTATGATAGCTTTTTAATAAGTAAGTGAATCATGTTGTAGTAATTTAGTTTTGTTTTAATTTTTGGTGTTCTTAATCATGTGTGTAGGTTTTTAGCATTATAATGGTTTGTTATGGTTATGTGTGTTTTTTTCTTAGATTTATAAATTTTTGTTTCAACTTTATGGTTTTTACAGTGATTGTGTTTAGGAGTGAGGAGTATTGCAACATAACATTTGCATGTAAGTAAATAAATAATTTATATCCATTTTTTTTTCAATATACACACTAATATGTATGTTTTCCATTCTAAATTTTTTACATGGACAATGAGTCAAGAGTTTTGCATTAGTAGGAATAATGCACATCTAAAATATAACTATAATGTTGCAATTTACTAATTTGTTGGGCTCAAAAGCTCATATCATCTTGTTGACATAGTCACAAGAGTGCCTCAACCACATAGCAATGGTAGCCTCAACCTACAACATCCAAAACAAGTTTAAAATTCAACTTATGCAGTCACACTTGCAAATTCTAACCCAAAGTTTAATATGTCATAAATCTAATGTGAGTCAAAATTTATGCAACAGAAAAATTGCATGATCTTGCTATACATATGTGGCAACACTAATGCATACCCATATGTTAAAAAACAAAAGTTATGTTTAAAATATTATTTTGTGAGTCACATATGTATATTACAACAATTCAAACACACAGGCATTTTTATTTTATATATTTTGCAATTTTGTACAATTTTTTGCCACACTACCCACCTTAGGTAAACCTCCTTAAAAAAATTGCCATTAAAATTTCTTTTTATATTGATCTGCAAATAAAAAATGAAGAAAAACTCTTAAAGGAGTAATTATTATTAATAATATTTAATAATTAAAATATAAAATAATATTAGTTGTATATTTATTATTATAAAGAACATAAAACATGATTTGAAGTTTCTGATGCCCATAAAATTTTGTTTGGATATTTAGTTTCATAGAGAACCATATTGCAATTATTTTGGATAGAAAATATGGTTGATAGCAAACAAAATGGTTGTTTTAAGCAATATGTGTTAGTAGCCCATAAAACACTTTTACCATGATATAAAACTAGATTACCATCATGTTGTAAAACTAAAATGCAATTATATAAGTTATATTTAGATATATTTATCTCCCAAATCACATAAATTTTTGAATAAAACTTAAGATTACAATTTGATTCTAAAATTAAGACATTTTTAGTATTTGAAGAAACTAAGAAATTACTAGTATAAAGTACTGATTTGGTAGAATAAAGACTACTTATATCAAAATAACAAAAAGAATATAATGTACTATAAGGAAATTGAAATTTTGGATAATAATTTTGTAAATAAAGTTCTGTATCCTTAATTAAACTATATTGTATCATAAAATTTATAGTCTCACTTTTAAAAAAATTTGAAAGATTTATATGTATATCATTGAAGCTATTATGTAAAATATTTTCAAAACCTTTTATTATACTTTCACCATAAAAGGTTGTTTTAGCAGAACAATCTTTTTTAGCTTTAATAATTAAATTAACAATTCCTTTTGATGTGGATATTTCTGTACTATCACTATAACTTGCTGGATATGTATATACAATTTCTAATTTATTTATTAATTTATAACAAGTTGCAATTATTTGTGCAATATCATGTGAATTTAAAACTCTAAGGTTTCCAAATGATGTATGATATTGTGCTGCATATATAAAATAAAATTTTAAAAATATCAAAAATATTAAAATTAAAATCTTAATTTTGAAAAACATTATGTTAACAAAAGTTATATTATTAATCTTTAAAATTGATAAGATTTTTATATTAAAGTTCTAGAACAGAACTATACTTTTACTTTAACTTTTACTTTAATATTTTATACTATGAATACTTTAATATATTTACTTTATTTTTATTGCTATATATTTTTTATTTTGCTATTCCTAAAATATTTAAGTACTTTGATCCAAATCACACTCAGATAGACACTTTGGTATTGCTCCAAATCAATTTCAGTGCAAAATACTTAAGTACTAAAGATTGTGCTCATTGTTAATATATGTCAAATTTGAAATTTAGTTTTTAAATTCCTCAATCAATCTTCATTTATAGTATATATACCATATGTGAATACAAACAAGATTACACAAATCAGTTGCATAAAGTTAATTCAATCTAATATTTGTACTTGAGTTTCTATTTTGAAATACAAATGCTTTTTGATTATCTTACGTCTCATCCTGTTGAGACGCGGAGGCTGCCGACCAAATGCATCAACGTACGTCACGGTGCAGAAAGCTTGCAGCAGCAGTATTCCTTCGAGTCTAGACCTTGGGAGCGAAGTCAAGGCTCTGATCTACCGTGGACCCACCCTGGTTGACTTTCACGGCAACGCTGGAGACATGGTTTCCGCTCGCCAGGTATTTGACTCGCTACCGGGAGATGGTGACGAGGCCTGGAGTGCGCTGATCGCCGGATACAGCAGGCAAGGGGACGCAAGCCAAGTGCTGACGCCGTTTCACGAGATGGTAAACTCTGGCATCAAACCGAATGGTATCACAGCTCTCCATGCTGGTTTCGTCGAGGCAGGGAAGAAGTTCTTCCACGAAATGCCATCCAGATACGGCCTCATCCCCGAAGAGGAACACTTCCACTGCGTTGTCGATCTTCTCAGCAGAGCAAACCAGCGGGAAGAAACTCTCGCGCTGGGTCAAGGTATGACGAAGCGCTCGAACTTTGAAGCAAACGAAGTAACTTGGACTACCATTACAGAAACTCGCGGAGTGGAATCCAGGAGTGGAGACGCTACGCTTGTCGCAAACCAAGAATGGCCGTCGTGATGCGTGAACAGTTTGTATATAGAGCTCTCCCATTTCGTAAACTTTACTACGCGCTGAGCGAGAGCGAGCGCTAGAGATGGGAGCAGCAGCCGCAAAACTTACTGCTCTAGCTGCTCTACTATCGCTCTTCTTCTCAGGTACTTCCATCTTACGTTCTCTTTAGTTGTTTTACCAGAGATGGCTTTCGTCCAGACATGGTGGAGTAAACGAATGCCAGTTCTCCGCAACGGTGGAATTCACATGAAAAGAGGGTGTCTTCCTCGAGCCGTCCAAGTAGCGGTCCAGCTATGAGGAAGAATTCTACTCAATCCTTCTGGTCCATTGAGCTTGGCCGAGTTTACAGTGGCCAAGACACAATGGATATAAGCTTGGTGGATGGTTTCGACGTTGGAGTGGCGGTGAATCTCAGCGGAGGAGGATGCATTCGAAATGGAAGCCCGGAGCAGTGAGATTAGTGAAGGATGATCCCCAGTTGCAATCCCGGGGGAGACTACACGTGGTGTTAGTGCCCTTGGTTTCTGTTGGAAAATGGATCTGGACAGGCCAGGGATTGAACCCAAGACCTCCTACACCGGTGCCAGGTGCTCTACCACTGAGCTACCTGCCCTGGTTGTGTGTATGTTCAGCTTAGTTCTAACACTCCCCCTAAGCTAAACACGACCTGCCAGTCCATGCCTACCACAGGCCATCCAACTATAGCTCCGATACCATGTTGGAAAATGGATCTAGACAGGCCGGGGAATGAACCCAGGA